AATTAAAAATTATGCATGCGTACCAAGTGATAAACCGACTGGAAACCCATGCGGTGGAAATCGCATATCCCCTGGTCTGCCAACGTATCTTGGGGCAGGTGTATAACCATCCTTCTCATAGTTAGGAATGTAATGGTCTCCTTCAAGTTGTTGTGGCCTCCTTGAATCGGGCGATATGGACCGTCTCCTTTTAGAACGTCGATCTGAATAGTTCGCTGTATCTAACAAGTGTCAAGGTTCATAAAATAATGAAAAATTTAATATTTTTATAAACTTAAAGAGCGTTTTGAAACATTTAATATAAAAAAATGATTAATACCTCTATCTTCAGGTGATGAATTATTATCTCTTTTAACTCGCCTTTCATTATAAATTGATCGATCTCTGTCTCTGTCTCGATCTCGATCCCTATCTCGATCTCGATCTCGATCGCGATCTCGGTCACGAGTATCTCTACGATCAAGACTACTTCTACGTTCACGCGTAAATTTATCACGACTGTGGTGAGTGCCTTCGTCATCAGAATGGTCCATTCGCCGTTGTTTAGAGCTCATTTTAGCGTTGAGGTGTATGCAATAAGAGACTTCTAGCGGTATAAAGAAGCAAGGAGTATTTTTTTGTAGAACAGATAATCTAGTTCTACACAAAAATATAACGAATTCGTGTCAAAAAAAAGTGAAAAAATGGTAAGATTCTCATGTTTTTTCATGTGTTTTGAGTTTCGTTTTCTATCTTGAAGGTTGGTGATTTGATTAATGTTAAAAAAAAAAACCGGTGGGAATGTCGCAATTGACAAGAAAGGAAAGTTTATATATATAGAAAAGTGTCTAAGAAGAACGTGAATATAATACGAGTTTCGTGTTTAATCAGTGTTTAAACTAGAGTAGTTCATATAAAAGTTTTTAACAAGACCAATATTACCAGTAAATTCAAACGAGTTTATGATACGCAAAAAAGTTTTTTGACAAGTACAGTTTCTTACTGAGATTATAATTGGATAATGATTTTTTTTTTTTTCTCTTTTTTTTGATGGTTCACGAACATTTTGTGTATCAAACAAGCTAAGTGTGCGGTTTTCTTATGCAATTGTTTAGGTTCCCAGAGAAGGTATAAGTTTTTGATGAGAACGTAGATGGACTCACTCACCAGATCTGAATCTAAGTCAAACAAGTCGACTCTTACTCTCTACAATAGTTTATTCTGCTTCACATATCATATACGTAGCCACTAAATCACCGAACCAATCATTCGGTAGAGCGGATTTCACACAATTATGTTACACGACATTCAAAAGTTCTATGCCGTGCAATGTAATAGTTATATCCTGGGCAATTGGATTTTGCAGTAAGTATAATCGGCCGCGTAAACGACCGGTTATACTTTACAGGACATAAATGAATTATCCTCTCCATCTATGCAACATAATTTTCCTGTACTTATTTTAGAGCGAAACTTTTATTTTACTCATTGTTTTTGACATTTAAGATTAAAAATAGGATAATACTCGATTACCTAAATTAAAAGATATATATCTAGTAGAAATAAGTACATGAAAAAGTTACATAGATGAGGTCGACCAGGGGATATGCGATTTCCACCGCATGGGTTTCCAGTCGGTTTATCACTTGGTACGCATGCATAATTTTTAATT